TTTTTTTTTGGGTTGAAACCCCCCCGTTTTGGGCTGGTCCTGGCGGGGATTTTGGGGTGAAATCCCGGGAATTCGGGGCTCACCTCGGCCACGATGACGTCACAATCCAGGCCCCGGTTGAAGCCCTGGGGATTCCCCTTCACCCCCACCTGGGGGAGGGGAAATTCGGGGGGTTGGGGACCCCAAAATCTGCACGGAGACCCCCGAAAAACACCCCAAAACACCCAAAAACAGCCCAAAACACCCTAAAACACCCCAAAAACACCCAAAAAACCCCCAAAAAACACCCAAAACCCCCAAAAATCACCCCAAAGACACCCAAAAACCCCAAAAATCGCCCTAAAACACCCAAAACCACCCAAAAATCACCCCAAAACCCCCAAAACACCCTAAAACACCCCAAAAACACCCAAAATCCCCAGAAACCACCCCAAAAACACCCAAATACCCCAAAACCCCCAAAACCAGCCCAAAAACACCCCAAAAATCCCCAGAACACCCCAAAAAATCTTCCAAAAAATCTCTAAAAAAACTCCTAAAAATCCTTAAAAAAAAATCTTTACAAAATCCCTAAAAAACCCTTAAAAATCCTTAAAAATTCTTTAAAAAATCTCTAAAAAACCCTAAAAAAAATTCCTAAAAAATTCTTTAAAAATCCCTGAAAATTCTTTAAAAAATTTCTAAGAAACTGCAAAAAAATTCTTTAAAAACCCCAAAAAACCCCTTTAAAATTCCTGAAAATATCCTTAAAAAATCCTTAAAAGAATTCTTAAAAACCCCCTAAAAAAATCCTTAAAAAATCTCCAAAATATCCTTAAAAAATCCTTAAAAAATCTCCAAAATATCCTTAAAAAATCCTTAAAAAATCTCCAAAATATCCTTAAAAAATCCTTAAAAAATCTCCAAAATATCCTTAAAAAATCCTTAAAAAATCTCCAAAATATCCTTAAAAAATCCTTAAAAAATCTCCAAAATATCCTTAAAAAATCCTTAAAAATCCCCTAAAAAATCCTTAAAAAACCCCAAAAAATCCTTAAAAAAATCCCTAAAAACCTCTAAAAAATCCCAAAAAATCCCCAAAATTCCCAAAAAGCCCCAAATAACCCCAAAAACCTCCCAGGAACCCCAAATTTCCCCAAAACCTCACCAGGCAGTGCTCCTTGCCGTGGTTGAGCCAGTGGCCGGTGCGGCCGGTGCGGATGATTCGCTGCAGCTGATTCGTCTTCACCCAGATGATCTCGTCCACGCGCTCGTACCTGCGCCCACCAACGGCCTCACACAGCGGGGATTTGGGCCATTTTGGGGGAGTTTTGGGGACTTTTTATGGAATTTTTGGGGTTTTTTTTTTTTTAGGGAATTTTTCTGATTTTTTCGGGATTTTTTGGGGATTTTTGGGGATTTTTTCTGGATTTTTTCTGGATTTTTTGGGGATTTTTTTTGATTTTTTAGGGATTTTTTGGGGATTTTTTAAGGATTTTTTCGGGATTTTTTGGGGATTTTTGGGGATTTTTTTGGATTTTTTAGGGATTTTTTGGGGATTTTTTGGGGATTTTTGGGGATTTTTTCTGGATTTTTTCTGGATTTTTTGGGGATTTTTTTTGATTTTTTAGGGATTTTTTGGGGATTTTTTAAGGATTTTTTCGGGATTTTTTGGGGATTTTTGGGGATTTTTTCTGGATTTTTTCTGGATTTTTTGGGGATTTTTTTTGATTTTTTAGGGATTTTTTGGGGATTTTTTAAGGATTTTTTCGGGATTTTTTGGGGATTTTTGGGGATTTTTTAGGGATTTTTTGGGATTTTTTAGGAATTTTTTAGGGATTTTTGGGGGTTTTTTTAAGAATTTTTTTGAAGGCTTTTTGTCATTTTTTAAGGCTATTTTAAGGATATTTTTGGGATTTTGAGGGATTTTTTTAGGGAATTTTTTTGGGATATTTTAGGGAATTTTTTAGGGATTTTTTAGGGATTTTTTTGAGATTTTAAAGACTATTTTGGGGACTTCTGGGGTTTTTTTTAAGGATTTTTTTAAGGATTTTTAGGGATTTTTTTTGGGAATCTTTTTTGGATTTTTAGGGGATTTTTTACGGATTTTTTGGGCAATTTTGGAGGTTTTTTAGAAAGTTTTTGGGGGATTTTTAAAGGAATTTTTGGGGGGATTTTTAAAGGATTTTGTAACGATTTTTGGGGAACTTTTTTGAGTTTTTTAGGAATTTTTAAAGATTTTTTTTAATATTTGGGGGATTTTTTTAGGCATTTTTAGGAACCTTTGGGATTTTTTTTAACGGATTACTTTAGAGATTTGGGTTTGGTTTTTTTTTTAAGGTTTTTGGGATTTTTAAGGATTTTTTGGGGTGCAAAGCCCAAAACTCACCCCCAGAGATTGAGGCACTCACGGCCCAGCTCCATGGCCCTGGAGAAATGAGAAATTTTGGGGTGAAAACAGCGGAATTTGGGACAAAATGGGATTTGGGGTGGGAAAAGGGGGATTTTGGGGGCTGGGAAAGGCGAAATGGGGGATTTGGGGGGGAAAAGGAGAGGTTTGGGAGTTTGGGGGAGAAAAAACGGGAAATTTGGAGAGTTCTTGATGGGTTTGGGGTGAAATCTGATGGATTTGGGGTTTCTGGATGAATTTAAGGAACTTCTTGACCGATTTGGGGTAAATCCCGGTGGATTTGGGGTGAATCGCGGTGAATTTAGGTTGATCCCGATGGATCTGGGGTAAATCCTGTGGATTTGGGGTGAATTTGGGGCAAATCCCCATGGATTTGGGATAAATCCCTGTGACTTTGGGGTAAATTCCAGAGAGTTTGGGGTAAATCCCGGTGAACTTGGGGTGAATCCCCTGGATTTGGGGCGAATCCCGTGGATTTGGGGTGATCCCGGTGGATTTTGGGTAATTCCCGTGGATTTGGGATGAATTTGGGGCAAATCCCAGTGAATTTGGGATGAATCCCATGGATTTGGGGTAAATCCGATGGATTTGGGGCGAATCCCGTGGATTTGGGGTGATCCCGGTGGATTTTGGGTAATTCCCGTGGATTTGGGATGAATTTGGGGCAAATCCCAGTGAATTTGGGGTGAATCCCATGGATTTGGGGTAAATCCGATGGATTTGGGGTGAATCCCGTGGATTTAAGGTGAATTTGGGGCAAATCCCAGTAAATCTGGGGTGAATTTGGGGCGAATCCCGATGGATTTGGGGTAAATCCTGGTGAATTTGGGGTAAATCCCGTGGGTTTGGGGTGAACCCCCTGAATTTGGGGCGAATCCTGCGGATTCGGGGTGCCCCGACCTGCCGGTGACCCAGAGGAAGAGGAAGCCCTCGTCCTGCAGCACGGGGATGTTGAGGCGCCGCATCTCGTCGTCGGTCAGCGTTCCGTAGGGCAGCTCCATGTGGATGTCCCAGGGCGGATCCGCCATCACCACGGCGAACTTGCCCAGGATGGACACGTCCAGGTAGCGAATGTCGCAGCAGATCCACTGCGGGGGAGAAACGGGGAGGAAACGGCGGCAATCGGTCAAAAATGGCAAAATGGCGGCACAAAATGGCGGCGGCGCAAAATGGTGGCGGTGAAAAATGGTGGTGGTGCAAAACGGCTGCCACGCAAAATGGCTGCCACGCAAAATGGCGGTGCAAAATGGCTGCCACGCAAAATGGCTGCCGTGCAAAATGGCTGCCACGCAAAATGGCGGTGCAAAATGGCTGCCACGCAAAATGGCTGCCACGCAAAATGGCGGTGCAAAATGGCTGCCACACAAAAAGGCGGGGTCACAAAAATGG